GTGAATAAAGCTCACGGACCACTGGTAACCTGTGGACCGCCCTTTCGGAGTCTCTGCTGTGACAGATCCAGTATTCAAACAATGACAGAAATGGAGAACGGAGATGTTTATTTAAACGTTTGAAATATTTGATGGATTTTTTTAAATTAAACATTACAAATGTTGCAGAGAGAGACGGTCGCTTGTTGTTCGTAGATCGAAGATACAAAATCAGCTGATAAATGGAGATTGACCATGTCCAGGATCTAAACGTTGAGTCTGGTGTTGATGATAACGGGTTGCGCGAGAGAGGCATTTGTCATTGGGGCTTGTTAAACTTGCTTAGCTTCAGTGCCCTGCATTGGTCCGCCCCCTTTGTCAGTGTGTGGTCAGCCGCCTTGTGCTGCCACATTGTTAGTATTTACTGAATTTATCGTTCCATATAAATGACCCCTCCTGCGTAATTCGTGGTCATTGTGTCCTATTGGCTTGTCGTCGGCAAATATTTATGCATTTAATTAGACTGTGCGTAGAAGGCAGGAAAATGGGTAAAACGTAAAGACATTTTGTCAAAATTATCATGTAGTTTACACTCACGTTGTTTTTCTGCATAATCGTCGTGATTGTCTACGCATTTCTTGAAATAGGACGAAAGATTTCATAATTGAATACCCCTTTCTCAATAGAGCCTCACTTTTAAAGTCCATAATTACTTAGCTGTGTTCACAAAAGCTCGCAATTAAATTATAACTCGAGCCAGTTGAATCCAATCCGCATCGTCACACCCTATTTTTGTAGTATCCTATGTAACACTATTCTCCAATTTACGTAATGATCTCCCAGGTTGTCTCTTCCTTAGTGATTTTCCAACAATAACAGTTTTGAATTTTTGATCTCCAAGTTGAAGGGAATTCTACTGTAAATTGAATAAAACTCGAACAAAGTTTACAGAAGAATGGAAGTGGCGGACAACTTCGAATAAGCTTTCCCATGAGAGTGGTGATATAGAAGCCGGCAGACACTACCTTGCAGTAAGGTGTCCTTTGTTTTGTGATTGTGGGCATAAAAAGCGTTGAAAAATAGAAGTTGTCTTATTACGTGTTCTAACATGAGACCTCTTAGGCAGAGTTCCGTTGCCCTGGGGAGAAATGTGTAGTTCCAAGCGATGACTTCATCCGGCGCATCGGTTCTAGACACAGAGCTTTCTCTCTCGCTCTGAGGACTCTTTTCTTAGAGTGGTGCAAACAAATTGTGTTGGGTGTGGAACCTAAGAGGAGCAATCTAATCTGGTGCTGCATCCTGTTCAGTTGAACACATTTCTGCGCTGTAAGTCATTACTTACTTTTTCTGTCAGTCCTGATGCTTCACATTTGGCGTCTGCTTCTTCTGCTTCGATCATGATGTTTATATCCGCCACTTTTCATCATCATTCAGCGGGAAAGGATCAATCACATCGATCCACAATTCTCGGAGCGTTATCCAGAATTAGCCAAGGGAAGGAAGAGAATTAATAACAACGTGAACATTTGTAACTATCGTTAAAATAACTTATAAACAAGTAGGAACTATATTCATTACCTAATGATGTCATTACTTTTAATTCGAAGAGTTCATAATTCTTCATATACTTATTCTCGTCAGTAATTCGTAAATAATTTAGTAGTTAAATAAACGACCTCTGATACTTCGGTAAATTTTTACCAGACTACACGGTATTACAACCCAGAAGACAGCCATCTTTGTGCCATTTTCCTGCTCGCTTAACATAATGCACTTTCTGGTTGTTTTTAGTTTTCCTGATGGTCAGTCCAGTAAGCTCCAAAAGACTGTATGAAATGTTTTACTGTTATTGTGGTAATACGAGGTGTATATTGCTGAATGCCTAACGTAGGTTTTGTAAAGTTTACACGCTGTGCTTGGAAGTAAAGAAAGTCAAATTGTTTAGAACTTGTAGAACTAAATTCAGAGTATAAATTCCGAAAAGAAGATGGCTTGTTGGTGAGGCTGCAGTATTTCAGGAGCTTCAGACTGCGTGCGAGTGTTGTAAATTGCACACATGCGTTCATATATTCCCATACCTCAACTAGAAGCAAATCTGCCTTCTGAGGTTGACAAAATTAGAAAGATCTGTATCGAAACGTCTCCCTTCCCTAGTCCGGCATCTTAATTGTGACGTATAATGTATTAGGGTGTCCTGTGTCATTCCGCTGTTGGTACAAGGACAGTAAGAGCCTACATTCTTAATGTCGCGCAGGACATTGTTTATACTCACAAAAAAACGCATAGTATTTTCTCTGAGTAATCCCCAAATGCTGCAAAAAAAATTGACATTTGAATTAATTTTTTTTTTAGTTTAGTCTAGCGATAGATGTGATATCACATACAAAGAACGTATCTGGAAAATATGAGGATTTCAGTTTGGAATACACTGCTGTTTATGTACTCTGGATATAGCACCATTTCTTGTGTCCAACATTAGAAACTGGTTTCTGGCTAAAAGGTATCAAAGGCGAAAAAGTTAGGAAACCACTGGTTTATGCAGTGATGAAAAAGTCACTATGTAAAATCACATCCTATTTGGCGAGCTTTACTGTATGACGTGACTTTATAACCTTAAGCACTACCTTCCTTGAACCAATTGTGCCGTGTTATAACAGCAATTAAGTTAGTCTTGAGAAATATTTGTGTGTTCTTACAGTTGCACGAGGAATTTTTAATAATTCTGTATAGTTGTGCCTTTATTTTGAATGCCACATGAAATGAATAACTTATCAGACAAATTATCACTGCTTGTAAACGCTGCTCTATAAATACGACAGCCCATTTGCAATGGCGACGTAACTCAAGAGAATGACAAGTATAAAACCTTTTTAATGTAACATATAGACAGTCTGTGGGCAATTGACGGCTTAGGAAAGTGACTACTGGAGTTAAGTTGCTGGAAGAATGCTTGAATTCTAAACGAAATTATGAAAGAGTTTTCCGTTAATTATTTTGGGCACTGTTTCTCAGAATTTTAATTTAATGTCGCACTAAAATATAGTTTGATGCGCACCAGCTGTGTGTTATAAAGTTGTGTATACAATATATGTTTTCATAAACTGTACTTATTTTATTTTACTTTATATAATATGCTTTTATAATATCCTTAATGTGTATTTAAGTTCGCAGAAAAGTATGAATGGCTAACAGTTTAGGAACGAGAAGTTTATAACAGGGACGATTTAAATGGTTATTCTGAGAAAGCAAGATTCCTAGAAATTTGAACAAAATGTGGAGATTATCGAGGCGGAAAAGAGAACCTGACGACAAAATAACGCGGTAACCCAGCATTATGACGAAACAATGGTAAACAAATTAACACCGCTATTGTCAGACTTTGTGTTACATTATTAAACTTGCAGAAATTAACGTAAATTCAACATGTTACTGCACACCAGTTCCGCAATACTGGTTCAGAGAGACGCGCTCTTTAATCCGTGTAAACAAGAAGTGGTTTCGGAGGTAAAGTGGTTTTTAGATTTAAAATTATTCATTGTCAGGACTTTTCCATCGTCCGTTCTTTAAAACCACGATGATTTGATGTCAATTTTTTTGCGGTTTCAGAATTGGTCGCTAACAGAGCTGTATGAGCGGTCTTATAATTTTTATTTTGTCATTTAAGTATTATAATCTACTGACAGAACCCGTACTTGGGTGGATAAGTTGAAATAATTGCACGATTTATATTATCCAGTGACAGAGACTAGACCTAAGGGACCCAACAGAGTAGGTACCTCTCACCTGAAGACGGAGACAGAACCGGCCTCCGAAATGTCGTGGTGTAAACTACCGTCGTCAAAACCCTTTAGAATGGTTTTTAGATGTTGGTGCTGTAATAGCCATTGAAATGGAGTCGATATTGTGTTATTTTTTGTTTTCAATTGCCTCGTTGTTTTTATGGAATTCGAAGGTATTTATTGTAATTTCATCCTGTGAACGTTTCAGCTTTGTCACAGCAAAACTGAAAAAAACTCTTTTTAAACAACTTATTGGACTTAAATTAAACTTTAAATAATCTACATGAAAGTTCCATGCTTTACTGTACACACATGTTAAATTCTCAGACTAACAGCATTCCATTGAACGTGCAGGATTGGAAAGTTTTTTTTATTTGTGTTAAAATTGAAAAGTGGAGTTGAAATCCACTGCATGGATGCACGTCACATGGGTTACACATATGAGGGGAATCGATTTCCCTTTTTGTAAAAATTAGAATAATATCGAATATTTAAATAATTGTTGTGATGAACGTCATTCTGTATCACGGTGATGTATATATTTACTATTCTGATGGTGATATCAGAGGTTGAAGGAAACAAACAGCTCATTGTTGGTCTGTTCGCTTCTTTGTGCCTTCGGATTAACTATTTCTGTTATATAGCGCCAAGTAAGATACGCCACTAAGATTACGAATTGTAAATTTAGAGGAGTGCCTGAAGAGGATGTCGCGGCCTACTTAAGCTACCATTGCTTGTCAGTAGGTTCACGACGTAATTTATACCATTGGAAAAATTCCAGTTAGCTCTGTACATACAAACACCCCCTAGGAAAATCCTGATATTAACCCTGAGTTTCTTTTAAAACTTATTTAAATAATTATAGTGCTTATTATGACAGTCTTATAAAAATATTATATTTCTGTTGACCAGAGTTGTATTACTGCCGTCGAGGGACGAACATAGGTCTCATTTTTATTTGTAAAACTCGGTTATGGACGCACTGAAGTCACGCGGAAAGAAAGACACAATAACCACGAAAGGAAAAGATTTTGGTATGAAAAATAATATTGGCTTATGGTCGCCTAGGAACCAGACCAGATACGTGGGAAATGTGAAAACTGGGAGGTGATAAAACGTTATAGTACAGAAGACAGGATACACATTTTTTATCACTACTGGAAATATTAACTTATCATCGACTTAACAGCGTGGTTTGCACACCCGCAAAGAGCTACTGGATGTGTTGTGCCGGATACCTACCTTGTGGGCAGGGCCGGTCGATTGCAAATCGATTGCACACCAAATTGTCCGATACGTTCACACACGTGTAGCACGTCACGCCTGCTGTGGACCAATCAGAATACAACACAGTTTAGATTTATTTTATCAACATACGAAATATATTAATAACAATTTATTGTTTATTTTTACTATGTATAGTTTAAACTAGATCAATTTATAACTACTTTTACTTTTAGGACGAACAAAGGGCAACGAATCGTATTTTTAGCCAACTTTATACCCTAATTTCATGTTCTGCCTGTCTTAGAGTTTTCTTTTCAACTGTTTTTCTGTTACTTCTACGTCTTGAATGTTTAAATTTAAACTGGATTAGACGTATTTTTATTCCTGACAATTTTAGACTGTTGCGTCTGATATGACGTGTCTTAACGGAAAAGTATAGTACTTTTAAGAACAGAAAATATCCAAGAAACCCGTCCATTTATCCGACCTCCGTTGACTGTAATTACGAACTTTCCAAGAATGCTATACAAAGGACCTTCTCGGAACATACAATTCTTCAGACTAATCTAATTAACTTCAATTTACACCCAAATCCTAAAACAACGACTAAAATAAAATTTGAACTGTAGTTCACAATTTAAAACCGGTTCATCAGATAAAGGAAACAAGCTAGGAAATTATCATAAAATTGATGAATGAGAAGTTAACAGTACGCTCAGGAATGAAAAAGTTACACGATTTTATGGAACAGACATCTTCATTACCAAATTTACAAGAGTCTGTTGCCAATCGCTATCCTCAGCCAGATGAATCTAGTTCACACTCTCAAAATTGTTCTAAATTCTATGCACAAGATTATGCAATAATTTCTATTCTAGAACTTTAATCCGTGTGATACATTGAATGACCAGTCGCATTACATTTTACCCCTTCAAGAGTAATCTGTTTATGAACCTAGTTTTATATCTGGCCATATTTAGAAAAAAAGACTCTTTTTAAATAAGTACATTTTATATGTTATTTAAATCAATCCCTGTTTCAGAATCATCTTTGAGATGCTGAATTTTAACTCATCAAGAAATCCCCTGCTTTATGAAATCCAAATATTAATACTAAGTTTATAAGCCCCTCAAAACAGATTATTCTTTTCATGGCAATCATTAAAAATGCAAATGGATTATAACTGTCCTAGACGAAGTAGGAAAAGTCTACAGTAAGTTCAGGATTGTCAGTTTCCTAACTGATTCAGGCTATTTTCAAATGCAGGATCAGTACTTATGTTTCAACAAACTTAGTGGATTATATTATAAAATAAGTTGTCGGGTGAGAAAATTTGTACCGCTTCTGGCTGACATCTTGGAGAAACTCGATTAAAGCTTGGAAAGCAAAGGCCTAGTTTACCTTAGTCATTCTTTTCACCATTTAATCCAGTGCCTCCAGGCATCTATGAGACAGAACCGCAGAATGTAACCACAATGTCTTCTTACAGCTTCCTGAATTCGTATTTCTTAATCAGCCTACCATATCACACTCAACGCTTCACAGCCCATGAATTTGATACAGCGACTTAATGACACGGTGGTTGTTACAGAGTTTAATACGTACGATAAAACGAAAAAATACCATTGGCAGAAGCAGTTGTGGTCTATTTCATTTATTACGAAAGAAATTTTCTTCACCAGATGTTATTATTAATAGAATATTACAATTAAATAGGAGGGCATGGGTTGGGCATGTAACAAACATGGGGGTGATATGAAGTGCATACAATATTTTAGTCGGAAAATCTAAAGGGAAGAGACTATTTTGAAGACTATGAGTGGATGAGAGGTTAGTATTTGATCTTAAATGATTTGTAGGTGCATACGGCATGACAATACAGACTAGATTCATCATCTGTCAGGGTACGGTCTAATTGTGGTTTTGTGGAGTTGTGAGTTCAACAAAAGACGAGGAGAGTAACTCATGGACCAGCTGTTTCTCAATATGGACTCTTCTCCGTGAAGTTAACACATCTCTTTCTTTAGTTGTTTCGGTCATGTCCCTGTAAAACAGCGGACCCTTTGTATATCCCTCATATGATACATGAGTAAATATGGAGCGGCGGATTGATACTGACAGCAGAAAACCGGACTTGGAGAAAAATCTGTCCCAGTGCCACTTCGTCCACCACAAATCCCACATGAACTGATCTTGGAGCGAACTCGGAGGCCCGCGGTGACAAACCCGAAACTAAATCTTATAAATTAACGGCCTTAGATATGGTTCGGTCTCGTAAATCTGGCAGGAGTTTATTAGGTTAGCCGTTTCGTAACCTGGTATCTTGCTATTACATAGCTGAGCCAGCCTGCTAGGCGAAGTGTGACAAAAGTAACCGATAACACGTCTTTTAGAAGTCAGTCGAATATTTGGTTCATGTAAAGGGACTTATCGGTAGCAATAAAAGAGTTTAATAATAGTACGAAGAATAGTAGTTTTATGATCATCGCCCTGATGATTAATGCAGCAAGGATCCCCGAAACGTCACTAAACTTCTACCAGACTACACAGCGCAACAACCCAGAAGACAGCAAACTTCATGCTGGTTTTTTATCAAAGACGCGAAGGGAAATAATTTTAAATGTTTACATTATGAGAACATGAAGAGAAACAGATGAAAGGTTACAGGTGGTCTAGAACAAAAGGACGACGCTTGCTTTAGCTTTGGGAAAATTTAGACGGGGATTAAGGGAAGGTGAGAGAACGGAGCGTTAAAATGAAGGAATGGAAACGTTATGTCAGAAATGTTATCTCATCACGTAGAAAGGTTTGACTCTCCTTCATCCGTGTAATTCCTTGTGTATAAGCTTTGGAATTACCAGCTAACATTTGTGCATAAGGGATTATAAAACGACACTTTTTAGGAGTTTCAAAGGGGTGGTTAACCCGTCCATGTTGAAACTCATGTGCCCTAAAGTCATGCATAAACGGAGTGCAAGTTGGAATGAATTTGAAGTGTAGTTCACATAAAAAGCGGTGGTGAAAGGTAGGTCCATTATGCTGAGAGTCTGTTTCTAAAGTGGTAATGCTGTTTATCTAAAGACAAATACCGGGTAAGTTCCAAAATTGAAACAGAATAATCAGTAGCGAAGAAATAAATGACCGGACACATACTAGGTCATTGTTCGAATACTACAGAATTTCCGAAGAAGATGTATATACGTTATATACGGAATATTGACCTTGTTATCTATCTCCGTGTGTTGTGTTTACTGAGGACGTTGACAGTGGTCGTTTTGAACACATTTACTAAGCGCCAATTCTGACGTATGTAATGCTTTAGTTTATTAAAATGTCTTCATTTCATTCACTGAGTGTGTGCCATCTTTTTGGGACAGCCTGTATCTTAGACATATAATATTTCTTTTTCTGTTTGTCCTGTGTTTTCGTTCAGTGGTAGAGGTCCTGCTAGGAAATACCCCCCCCCCCCC